ATTGTCCATTCCTGGGAAGAGCCTACAATCTAGCTGGTAAGTGGAAATGCACATATGACATAAATTTGCATTTGGTTACTCTGGTTACATTTTTCCAAACACTTGAAAATTTTTTCTCTTTGGAAGTAATTTCCAACTACAGAAATGTTATCAGAGTAAGAATAACATAGTGAACAAGTCCATGTACCCTTCATCTGAATTCTCTTATTAACATTTTATCTCATTTGTTTTTGCTTTTGTTTTTTGCACTTTTAAAAAATTTAAGTATAGTTGACACACAGTATTACATTAGTTTTAGGTGTACAACATAATGTTTTGACAAGTGTAGACATTATGCTGTGCTCACCCCAAGCGTTGTTACCATCTGTTACCATCCAGAGCTATCACAGTATCATTGACTCTCTTCCCTGTGCTTTGTATTCCCTTGTATTGTAATCCCCTGACTTGCTCATCCATAACTGGAAGCCTGTATCTCCCACTCCCCTTCGCCCATGTTGCCCAAGCCCCTTCTCCTCTCCTCTAGCAACTATCAGTTCATTTGTTTTTTCATTTAAAACAAATGAAACTATTTGTTCATTTGTTTTAATGAACTTCCCAAGGAAGTCTATAAGAAGTGTGGACTGGTTTTTTTAAAAAATTATAATTTATTCCTGTTTTTCATTATTTTGGGGGCTCAAGCTAGCCTAGATTTAGCAAGTGTGAGATACTTCTCTGGCTCTTGTGACCTTATGGCATGCCCTTATCATGTTTTTGTTTTGTTTTTAATTTTTATTTATTTGTTTTGGGCACTTCCTTCCTTGTTTCATCCTGTACCTACTCTACCCTAGCCCTGGAATCAGCCAGTTTACCAAAGATTCCTGGTTCCTTTTCACGGAAATGGCGTTAGAGAACAAAGTCTGGGTGCCAGGTGTGCTCATAATTACTGGGGTGCCTTTGCGTCCATATCCTTTCAACAGAGCTAGGCAATAGATGCATTTATATATACATATACACACACATACTTACATTTGTACATATATATACATAGATCTTCTAGAAATCATGAATTCACACCAACGCCTTCAAGTCCAGTCTATCCCCAGAGGATTCTTTCTAGTCTTCCTTTCATGTTTCTATATGTCCCTCCTTCTCCAATGAGAACCCTGACTCCCAGCAACATGGACACATTTGCTCATTCATTAAGTCCTGTAATATGCAGAATGATTTCAGCATTGTTTTGTCCATAGCACTACCAAACACGAAACTCCCAGGAAGAGTTTAGCATTTATTTGCTGTTCTTCCCTCACTCGGTCCTATCCAAGGCTGAGAGCCTACAGTCAAGAGACCCTAAGCTACCTGAGCTAGTTTTGTCTTTCTCTTCAGTAGAGCTGTGGTATTCGTTTGAAATACAATCAGATTCATTTGTCTCAATTTACTTCCACTTTCGGGGTATTTTCCCTCCATCCCATCCTTGTTGATTTAATTAAAAATTGTAATTTTTCACATGAACATGGTCCCAAAAGTCAAAACTATAGAGAATGGTATACTTAACAGTGTCCCTCCTGTTTTGCCCTTCCTTTCCATTTGTCCCCATTCTGCATTTTCTGCTTTATCCTTTGGCTACACCCTGAAGTGTAATATGTGTGTTTTCTTATTTCCTCTCTTTTCATACATAAAGGGTAAAATACCATGTACCTTTTTGTCGAAGCCTTTCTTATATCTTTTTTCTTCTGATTGCACCATAAATAGAACTCTGATCTGGAATAAATAGGCTTCTGTCACATGTTGAGTTGTTAGATTTCTAGTCATTTGTAAAAAGTCGGATAGTTTCTACCAATAGCTGGTTTAAATTTACTTTTGTAGTAGTGAGTGCTATTTAGTCCCTTAGTAACAAGCTTCAAAAAGGAATTCTCATGCAAAATGGAGAACTGTTTTTTTCTTCATCCACTGAGGTTGATGGAAGATTCAGTGGACTCGGGTGGGATTTTTCTGGAGTGGAAGATTTATCAAGATGGGAATGGGTTATTCCCAATGGAGCAGAGAGTGGTATAGGATTGACAAGGCACTGGCTGGCTCGTGGAGGTCACTCTGAGCCTAGGATCCTATGTGTCCTGTGTTTCTCTCAGTTCTGCTGGGATCATGTAGCTTAGAGCCCACTTAGAGCTGTTTGCAATGTTCCTCCCTTTGGTATTGGAGAAAGCTCCTCCCATGGCCTTTTTCATGCCCAGATTCAACAGCTAAATATTCTATCTTTCAACTTCACATTTGTCCGGTGCTTTGTGAATCCCACAATATTGTCTTAATCTCTGTGGAACAGGAAAACAGGTCTTATGTCTGTTTTGCAGCTGAGGGAACTGAAGCTCAGAAGAGACCAGTGACAGAGCTGGGACTAGAATCTGGGTCTTCCCCCTGAGAGCCCAGTGTGGTCTTGGTCCATCAAAAGGACCCCCTCCGCTGGCCCGTTTTCCTGCTATCTCAGAGCCGACAGGAGGAGATTTATGCTTGCAAATCTCTGTTCCGTCCAAATCAGCAAAGGTCGCATGCCTACTGAGTATTAGGCCATTCAGAAACTACCTAAAATCAGTTCTCGGGGTTTACATAAACAACTTTGTTACCTGAACTTGTGTAATAGTGATTGTTATTTAAAACAAATGGGCCATAAACCAGGCAGTGGTTTTTGTTCTCAGAAATTTTACTCATAGTAGGATTTTACCTATGCATGTGTTACTGTGTCTCAGCAACCAAGAATGTACAACAGTGATACAGATTGTTAGAGTTCTCTCTCTCTCTCTCTTTTTTTGTATTTCTAAGGCAAAAAAAAAAAACAAAAAACAAAACAAAACTCATAAAATACATTAAAGCAAAATCCTCTTTTGTAAAGCCCTTAAGTTTTTCAGGTAACTCTCTTACTATCTTTGTAATCTTTTTTAAGAACTCAGATGAGACATGAATCTAGGAATAAGAATACCCTGTTTTTATTATAACCATGTAAATTTCGTACTCCAAGTTCAGAATCAAAACACAGAGATTTGGGCTTAGATACTTCTGGCAAACAATAGAAATGAGGCCCACATAGTTGCTCTTTACGATGTATTTAAGAAAACAGATGGCATATGATGCATTTTCATGTTGACAAGTGAACCTCCTGGGCCTCCACTTCATCCTTCAGGGATGTCATGATGGATTGGATGTGACTTTTTCAGAATTTAAATTAATTTGGTGAACCTACCCAGAACAGAATTATGCATGTCCTGTATCTTGGGAAGCCTGGCAGGCCTAGCAGCCCCACATCATCCTGAGGGTACGGTTTGCCCAAGCAGCAAGACCCTGCCTGTGATGGCCCTTCCTACATGAGACAGGAAGGGATTCTCCGTTGGAGGAAAGGGCCCTGGGTGAGGAGTGCAGAAAACATCTCTGAGTCTTAATCAGCTTTGGTTCACCCTGCAAACCCCCTGAAGTCAGCTCCTCTGCAGGCCGGGCTCCTCATCCTTCCCAGAGCGGGCAGGTGGGGATGGGTCAGCCCTCACACAGCCAAGGACAGCTTCTGGGGCATCCAGAATGGGGTGATTGGGGAGCAATGAGTGTCGTCCTTTTTCAGTAGGAAGAGGATGGCACTTTGGTGAGGATTCCAGTTTCTTATCTGAAGCATCAGCATCCCTGGGCTTTCAAGTATCTGTTCAGCCCTTCAACAGCCCAGAGTGGAGAGGGAGAGGGAAGAGAGAGAAGAGGGGTTGGCTTTATGTAAGCAGATAATGTCCCCCTTTGTGTGTTGGGTCGAGTTGGGTCGAGTTGGGTCGAGTTGGGTTGGGTCGAGTTGGGTCGAGTTGGGTTGAAATGGGTTGGGTTGGGTTGGGTTGGGTTAAAGAGGTCCCTGATAGGGAGATGTGCCAGATTTGGGCTGGAAGGAAGGCAGAAGGAAGGCAGATGTAACCTCCGTCAGAATCCAGGGCTGTGTGTGCAGAAGCTGTGCTGCCTGTGATCTCATCTGCTTCCTTAGCAGCTTTTTAATCGTACTTAGGAAATCCATAACTCATGTAGCTTGGCTCCTATAGCCATTCCCGGCTGGAAATACAGATGGTTCCTTGGATGTGAAAATTGGGTAATCACCCACCTGACTCCCAGGCTTGCCTGAGCAAATGTGGGATTCTGTATGTACATGTAGATGGAGGATTGCAGGCACGAAAGATGGAGTAAACAACGAGCAGTTGGGAATGTGTACACGTCTGCCAAAGCCTTTCCAGGACAGGTGTTCCCATAAATGGGCAACAAATCATACTGCCTCTTCATCTCCTACGGGCAAGACTTTTGGGGAAAGATCATGGCAAGAAAGCGAGGGTTCCAGATGACAGTAGTGCTTCACCGGTGCCCTGTTTCCTGTGTGGGAAGGGAGAATGGGGCTGTGAGGTGGGTCTGCCCCGACCCTGTCCACTGCTCTGGCTGGAACCTGCAGGTACTGCTAGGGGAGCCTGCTCCCCCTCCTGGCACTCAGTTTGGACACAAGGGTCAGGAATGCTGTTTGGCTGAAGGTATTGAAGAAGCCCTAAACTTGGTGTGTGTGCTCTCTGGCCAAAGCGTAGCCCTCCTGGGTCCCTGCTCTTTTGGCATATGATGCCATCTATCCGAGGAGGGTCTGAGGGAGGTGGGACATCTCTGAGTTCAGGCTACAGGGGCGCGGTGGGCGGGGGGGTGGCGCGGCAGGCGGTGGGCGTCAGGAGGCCTGCCTGACATGACAACACGTGGCGTTTGGGGCCTGGGCTCCTTGGGATCTTGGGATTGTTCGTTTCCTAAGAGACAGTGCATGTGTGTTGGTGTGGTCTCTGCAGCTCTGACACCCACAGTCTTGCTTAGGAAGACACTGTCCTATGTCCTGTCCCCGTGTGTGGCCTCTCTTTCTGTGCTCGTGTGGCTATACTCAGTGCTGTGTGTCCTGCCACAAGACTGTTGTGCAGCAGGGCAGATGGCTCGTGGTCCAGGTCCCCGAGGACGTCCTCACGTGTGTGTGTTCTCTCTGCCACCCTCAGAGAATTCTCAAAGGAAAGAGAGAAGGCAAAAGCCCGGGGAGATTTCCAGAAGCTCCGGGAGAAGCAGCAGCTGGAGGAGGATCTAAAGGGCTACCTGGATTGGATCACCCAAGCAGAAGACATTGATCCTGAGAACGAGGAAGAAGGAGGAGAGGAAAGCAAACGAAACAGTATGTAGCACCTTCCTACTCCTGACCAGAGAGAGCTCGGGGGTGATTCAGGCGCTCACCGGGCAGAGACGTTCCAACCCCCTGACCCGGCCTGGGTGGGTGATGGGTGGTCTCCTCTTAGCTGCCCAGTTGCTTCTGCCCGCCCCTCGGAGAGGACAGGTGCCTTTACACCGACTCTGAGATTCTGCCCGAGGCTTGGGTTTTAGAGTTGTGCCGGTCACGGGGTCAGCCACACTCGCTCATTGGGAATTCGGGGAGCCCCTTCTGTGGGGGCACCAGCCATGGTAGGACACACGGTGACCCTACAGCATGGGAGCTGCGGCTTCTTCCCTGTGGGGTGAGCCGTGTGACTGGACCAGAACTTGAAGAGCAGGGTCCATCTCCATCCTCATGCCCCCTGGAATGGCTCCCATCTGTGCTCCACTTGCAAAGCCAGATGCTTAGCCCACCAGGAGCTGGGAAGAAACCAGTTCAGCAGTCTGGGCAGGGTGAGGAGGCATGTCATTCGGCATGGCTACTTGGAGCCCACTCCCCTGGTAGCCCACTGTGGCACCAGGCCCCTCGGGCACTGTCTGCAGCAGGAAAGCCTGATGCCCAGCGACCCCTGGAGTTCATTACCATCGTCAACCAAGGTGTGTCTTTTACCACCTACTTTCTCCTACAGATGGGCTCTTACTCTTTCTGGGCCATCTGTGCCTCAGGTAAAAGCAGAAATTGAAATTCAACAGTAGATTTGACTGAGATGCTTGTGGTTTGTTTCAAATCTAGAATAGCTGATAGTAAGGACCAAGAACCTATCTCAAACACACTTATCCCTTGAGAGGCCTGGGGAGCCAAGGTGGGCCCCACCTCGTGGAAGATGGGTGAGCGAGCTCACCTTGCGCAGGGTCCCTAGGACGTCATACACTCCTTCATTCAGCAAGGCGGATGCTGGTTGCTGGGGGCACTCCTGAGATGGAGGATACATGGTTTGCTCCTTGTGGGGATGGTGAGGCCTATGCATGCCGAGATGCAGCCCAAGGGGACAGAGACGCAGGTCGTGAGGGGTGGCAAGCTGTATGCCTGGTGCTGAGGAGGTGAGGGCTGACTACAGGGCTCCAGCAGGGAGCTGTGGGGCATTGGCCCCGAGCCTGGAAGGGTGGAGGGGTCTGAGGTTGGTCGGTGTCAGGAGAAACATCCCGAGCCACGGCAGAGGCGTGAGGAGGGCACAGGGGTGGTTCATCCCTTCGGCTGGTTGGGGGAGATGGGGCAGGGGGGCTGGGTGGGTGAGACCAGTTGGTGCCTCCTCTGTAGGCAGCTGATCACGCAAGTGAAGGCTGAGCGGCCCATGGTTGACTAAGATGGCCTTTTGGTTGCTTCTAGCTGGGAACTCTGGGTCTGTGCTTCCATCGGGAGTGTGGGTGTCCTATTCTCACAGCTGCAAATGATGGACTCAGTCCTGTGTGCTCCTGGGGGGCCAGCAGGGTGCAGGGTCCTCCTCTCCCCTCCCTTCTGCTTCCCAGTGTCACTGGTGCTGCTCCCTCGAGAAAGAGACTGGGGACTCAGTGCCTGGGCATCAGGAACCTGCCGGAGGATTTCTAAAGCTGCCTTTGTGTGCTGGCTCTGAGATTGGAGTTCATACGGTGCTATTCCTTCCAATTCCAAATGTGGTGATGTCCTCTGGGTCACTGGATGTAAGAAGGACGTCTGTGTTCAGGGCATTTGAGTCTGAATCCCCATGGTCTTCTTGCAGCTGCCGCACCTACCGTATGGCCGGCAACAGGCTGTACTTGGAGCAGAGGGGATGCCTACCTCACTGTCTCCCTCTTCGTTTCCGGACTGCAGCTTCCACACTGACCTGGGGGGCAGGGGGTCTGCCAGCCACGTCCTCCCTCTCCTAATGTAGCATGTCGTGTGTCAGCCAGAGCACGGCACCTTCCTTTACCAGTTGTCTGATGGGGAGCTGGGTGAGCCTTTCAGGCTGTGTCTTTTCATCTCTTCATTGCCCTGGCTTTGGAAATCGGGTCCCCATTCGTGCTGCTAGTATCAGGTATGGTGAGGTTGTGCTTGTGGCCTGTGGTTTGAGGAGTGGGCATTTTCGCTGAACTCGAAGCAATGTCTTCTGATAGTCCTGAGAGCTCTCGCTCACTTTGTCTTAGCCCAGTACTTCCTGTGCCCTGCCACCATGTGTATAGGACCTGGCCACATGATGACAAAAATCCATGCCTCTGCCTTTGGAAACCTAGCTGTGGAGGGAAGATGGAGAAGCGGGGCCTTAGTGTAAGATGGGGACAAGCTGGCCCCGTCATCAGGGGCAGCAGTCTGCTATGGGAGCCCCGAAGGGCACAACGAAGCAGCCTGGGGTGATGGGGTGGGGGTGGGGGATGCAAGGCGGGGGGGGCTCCCTAGAGGAGGTGGTGTTCCTGCTGAGCTCCAAGGAGTAGCAGCCTGTGGTTTCAAAATGTATGGGGGAGAGGAGAGTACTTCTCAGGCTGGGGAAATGGCACGAACGAGGGACAGAAGGTTATAAGTATTCCAAGCCCTGCAGTGCATTGCTTAGTAGTGTAATCAGGGAAAGAAATAACAGCCCTTTCAAAGTTGTAGGTCCTCAGAATTCACTTTGTAAGCAGGACTCCTCACCCGGTAAAGCCATGCCGGGTCTGGAATGGCAGCTCTGTGGTTTTTGCTGTGCACAGTACGGTGGGGCTCAGCCTGGGGAACCAGCTTGACGTTCCATCCAGACGAGCGCACGCTTCTGTGGGGTACTCTTGTCCTTTGTCGGGCTCCTTTTGCCAGATGCTGAGTTTTCCTGTGGAGTGAGACTCTGATTTCCTGAGTCACCTGATTCCCGGAGCATCAGTGATTCAGATCTGAAAGACAGACCTAGATCCCAGGCTGTGGGAACCTTGTAGGGATTTAACTGACTTAAGACGAGAGCCCCAGATCTCCTCCCAACGAGGAAGTGGGCCTCCCTGAATATATTCCTGGCAGCCCAGACCTTTTGGCCAAGGAGAGCTGCTGGGGTTTGCCTGGGACATCCTGTGGTTGCTGGCTATTTTCTTCCTGTCACAGCAAGAAACCCCAGGGGGAGAGGGTTTCCACAAGGCCTACATCGTCCCCCTCCCTAGCTGACAGCGGTTGATGTACCACCTGCACATGACAGGTCTGGTCTCTGTCACCTGGTTGTAAGCAGTGCAGTGTGGGCATGGCCATTGCCAGTGTGCTCCCTGAGTGTGAGAGATCCAGGCCTGCACACTTAACACTGCAGCCCTGCTCCTGTATGTTCTCGGGGAGAGGGGATGGGGCACTCCCTAGGCATCCTGGCTTTATCCGTACTGCCCTTTTCAGCTGGGTCCTGGATGGCATTGGGGCAGGTTCCTTCCAGACATGGGGGAGTTAAGTGACAGTGTGACAGGAAGCCCTTGCTATAGCCAAGTCTCAGCCTGTACAAGCAAAGGTGGGAGGCCTCAGGAGCCATGAATAGCAGGTGTCATGAGGCTTTGGAGGTAGGTGCTAGACAGCATGCTGGTGCCCCTTCTCTGGAATTGGCTGCCATTGAGTTTTGTGACTCGGAATTTGGACTTGAGTGATAGGCACAATGCCTAATGTCTCTGAGCCCCTGTTTCCCTGTCTTCAAGAAGGGGATAAATATTTGCCCATGGGGTTGTCGTGAGGATTAAAGTTTGATAACTGGCAGGAGTCACTGTAACCATAGGAGTACTGACTACTGTAAAACTTGACCTAAAGAGAATAATTCTTGCAGAGCCTACTAGATCTCTAACCAACCTCAGGCTAAGGACGCCTTTTAGGACCATGTCCCTATACTCTCCTGTTGAGAGACTATAGAGTTCTAAAGTACTGATGGAAAACAAACCCATTTACCAGTCATGTTGGAGATACCAAGGCACGACTTTCTGGCTCAACATCCATCTGTGGTTTGTTGATGCTTGCTGTCAGAGAGCAGATGTCAAATCCAGTGCTTGCAGATGCGCACACCTCATCTTTTCTCTCTGATCTACTAAATGTCCCTGTCTGCGTCTGTGGTACCCAGCCCTGGCTGTTCATGACTGTCACCTGGGGAGCGCAGACACATCCTGGTGCCATACTCCCCAACCCCGACGAAGACTTGTCTGTGTGCAGTGGGACCCAGGCATGGCTTTATCTGCTGCTCCCTGGAGGTCCCCGAGTGAAGCTGAGGTTGGGAACTCCTGAATGCTATCACACTGAATATCACACTGTTTCAGGCTTTCACTTGAAGGAAGACAGAAGGAGAGGCAGTTGGGGCCGTAACTGGGCTGTCTGCTGGGTGCAGTGACTGGTAGCCCTAGTTTGTGCATTCATGGAATATTTAAAATGTCTGTTCTATAAATGTGCTGTTAGGAAGCTGGTGTTACATGGTTAATTGAATGGACAAAATTCCCTTGGAAGTTAGTTCCTAAGCATTTGGGACATTTTCAAGGATAATTTATTTAACTTTTTGCTGAGCCTCAAGTTTCTTAAGAAACCCTGCCAAATCTCAAAGTGATTTTTTAGACATATGCAGCTGCTTCTGTGTTAACAATGGCGTTTTTCTAGGGCCATTAAAATCTGGAAGCCTAAAATTCTATTTTAAACTCTTCTCATTGTCAGTGATTAGTCTTTTTTTTTTTTTTAAGGAAAAAAAAGCATTAAAAATAATGAAATCGTTTTAAAGGGAGCTCATTCTAAAATTCCTGGCCGGAAAAGCAGGGCCGTTTCACTGTGGGAACTATTAATGGTCAATAATCTCTGTAAGCGGGGATACGTGATGCCCACAAGGAGATCTCCTCTCCTTCAGGGGTCCTAGAGGCTGCCCCGCCCCTCCCCCCCCAGGTGTCCATGCCCAAGGTTGCCACAGCTGTTCACCTCCCTTCCGCATGCACCCCTTGGGTGCCTTTTCCTGAGATGTTTGATTTGGGGACGGGCAGGAAATCAGGGATAGCATAGCTGTTTGCAAGCACAGGGCATGGAAGTGTGTTGGTCCGGTTTCAAAGCTTTTGTCT